GACATTATCCTGTCTTCACGGCTTCTGAGACATTAGCCTGTCTTCACAGCTTCTGAGACATTATCCTGTCTTCATGGCTGCAGAAAGATGGCTGCCTACAAGACCCCCCTGGAGGGGCTGCTGTCCTCCAGCCTCCTCCAGCCTCCTCCCTGGTTCTGCTCCCTGCCTGATGGGGACTTTTCACAGAGAAAAATCAAAAGCTGCTCCTCAGCTGATGTCCCTGTACAGCTCCGGTACTCGCTCGGGGTCCACGGGCCTGGGCAGGAAGTGTGTAAACTTCTGGTGCCTCCTGGACTTGGCCCCGTCCCTCGGTGTTCCGTCCTTGTTTAAAGCCACAAAGTAAGGCGCCCCCCTGTCAGCGTGCTTGTAGAGGTTGGAGGAGTAGGTGTTGTACCAGTTCTCCTCAAAGTGCTCCCTGAAGACACTTTCTGCTGTGAGCTCCTTCTGAAACAACAAAAACACAAAACCATCTAAAACACGAAGAACAGATTAATTTATTAGTAAAGAAATAATCCCAGGGATTAGAAACACGTTTCATTAGATGTTTAACGAGGGCAGCTGATGATGTAATCATCTGTTTTTATTTGTCAACAATAAATGGTGTTCAAATAACATGTGGAGCAGCTTTGACGCTTATGAAGAGTAAATTTTGGGACAGTTGCTCCACTTGGTAAGTTAATGTCTCTGGATGAGACAGTCCCTGTCCAACTTTGTCTTTTAAACCTCAGAATGAGCCACACAGACTCAGCGAGTGTAAAGAGCAGCGGGTGAGCATGTACTCACGGAGCCGTACAGATGCCCCTTGCTGTTCATGGCCAGGTAGAGCCCGCTGTCGGCTCCTTTGATGCTGATCAGACCCACAGCCAGGCTGAAGAACTCCAGGACACCTGCAGGAGGACACGAGCTGCAGGTGAGCACCCGGACACCCCCCGGACCCCACCCTGCTGCTCCATCTCACACTTACCGAACCGACTGTGGTCCGTCCTCGTGCCGCGCACGGTTCCGTCCGGGAGGATCTGCAGGTGAAAGCCGGTCCTGCAGTAGAGCTGCCTCCTCCGCAGGATCCCCTGCAGGTGCGGCAGGTCCGGACCCTCGTACCTGGGGAAGGGTAGGAGGTGCTCCCCCCGCGGGACCGGCCCGTCTCCGGGCGGCGTCAGGAAGAAATGAGCCCCAACGTGAAGCACGCCGTCGACGCCGTGCACGAGGCCTCCAACTTCCCCGAGAGCAGCAGAGGGAGCGACGGCCATCGTGGAGGTGAAGGAGGTCCGGGGGTGGGGCGGGGGGGGTGACACTACAGCAGCATGTTCACGAGCAGGTCCGGCCGTGACGCGCGCGCTGCTGTGTCCAGGTACCGAGTCTCATCTGAGGTGTGGCCACCTGCAGCACAGGTGAGGCACACCAGAGCACCAGCAGTGGGAGGAGTGGGAGGAGGAGGTCCAGTCCAGACGGGTTCTGTCCGGGAGGAGCTTCAGAACTTTCTGTCAGCTGGAGGTTGAAACTCTCTCTGATTTAAACCCGGAGCAGCCGCGGTTGTCCGGCAGCAGACGCTGCGGGGGTTCGAGTCCTCGTGGCATCAGGGACACGGAAACCTGAGGCTTAAAGTTCTTCCATATAATAAGAATAATAATAATATTAATAATAATAATAATAACAATAATAATAATAGCGTTGCAGCTGGGTGACATTCAAGAGCCGGACTGAAGAGCCGCGTCGAGGCTCGTCCATCACCTGAAGGTACCGGTACCGCCCAGGTCAGCTGTAGCTGGTACTGAGAGCTCTCCGAACATTTAGTGCTGAACAAGCAAAACATCACGTGACCAAACCAAGCTCTATTTGAAGCTGACCTCAGGAAATTTGCACATCAATAATTAAAAAGAGCATTATCTTTTTGCCACACTCCCCTCAGGAAGGAGGTTGAGGAGCATTAAGTGTAGAACCACTAGACTGAGGAACAGCTTCTACCCTGAGGCTGTTAGACTCATGAATCTCTAACTAGAATAATCACTGTGAAAAATCACATCATGTTGCTGCTGATCTGTTTCATGTTGCTGCTGATCTGTTTCATGTTGCTGTGTTCATTCATACTCAGCTGCTCACGCAGACTCATGTTCGTGCCTCTGTTGTTTGGTGTATTGTTTTTGTACTAGTGCTTACTGTATTTTTAGTTTAGCCTATTTCTTATTTCATATCTTAGATCTTGTTACTGTTTTTCTTTTCAATTTATACTTTAATCGGATGTAACTGGGACATGTGTACACAATTTCGTTCCAACACATGTACCGCATGTGTTGGACAAATAAACTTTAATTATTTCTCTTTGATCCTTGGAGAAATAAAGGTTTCTTAATGACAGATTTATAACCAATGACATTTTAAAACATATGGTAAAAGCGACATAATTTGTTTCTGTCACGCGCTGAGACCCGGTTCTGTCTGCTGGCAGAACTTTACACATCAGTGGTGGTCAAAAAACAGCCGCCATCAGTTAACATCTCATCAAAAATGTCAAAGTTGCTCAGTATGTGGGAGTGGTGGTGCAGAGGTCAGGGCAAGCTTGTGATTGGACGGTCGTCAGCTCAATTCCCAAGACTTACAATATCAAAATGTGGGCGGGAAAGGTGAAGCACCCACACAAAGTCAAGGTCAAGGTTCTTTATTGTCATTCACATCGCATGTGATACAAGGTGGAACAAAACTGTGTACACAGGGTCCCGGTTACATCCAACAAATGTATAAATTGTAAAAGAAAACAGTAATAAGATCTAAGATATGAACTAAGAAATACCCTAAACACTAATGGTGCAAAAACAATTACGCTGAGCAACAGCACGAACATGAGTCTGTGTGAGGACATGAGTACGAATGAACATAGTAGCACAAAACATATCAGCACTGGAGACGTGAAAGCGAAGCCAGACTGACCCCAACATAAAGTGCGTTAGAAGAATGTCATTACAGAGTAATAGTTTAAAACCAGACTGAAAGATCTCAAAAATTACATTTTCATTCAAAAACTTTAGTTGAATAAAAACTATTTTCCCCAAGATTTTAGAAAGAAAGGGAACTTTTGAAGTTGGTCTGAAGTTTGAACAAGTTGAAGGGTCAAGTCCAGGATTTTTAATTAATGGAGTTACTACTGCATGTTTAAAAACATCAGGAACCACACCTGTATCCATTCTGCTGTTTACTATAACAAGAACAGAGGGTCCAGTTGATGGTAAAAGTTGTTTAAAAACGACACAAGGATGGGATCAGCGAGGGAGCCTGAGGGTTTCATATGACCAATATCATTTAAAAATGAGAGCGAAATGGGTTCAAACTGACTGAGGACTGCTGACCAAGGGGCAAAGACAAAGGGGTCATCTGTGGAGTGTAGAATCGATGACCTAGTCAACTCAACCTTTTCAACAAAATTCCTGACGAAACTTTTCTACAATTTTTTTGTTTTGTTTTTTGAACCTGTCCAGAGGACCTGACTTAACTTTTTTAGATTTTTCTACCTGGATTATTGAGCACGCATCGGGATGCCTGACAAACTTATTACAAGTGTCTGCAGAGGCCTCAATGCTGGCAGACTGATGCACGTTTAAATAATGGAGTTAATGGTGTTCAAAAGAACATGGGGGTTGTGAGTATTTAAGGCGATAATTTTGGAGAAGTATTTGTTTTTCTGAAAGCATCTGATATGCTTTCCAACACGTTTTAAACATAAATGAAACCTGAAGTTTGCCCTTCTTCTATTTACGCTCAGCTTTCTTGCACTGACATCTGGCTGCTTGGGTGGTCTCATTTAACCAAGGGTGGGGTATGCATTTAGGATTTCTGATCTTTAACGGGGCAACTGAATCCAAGATCTTTATACAGGTCTCCCGAAGCTGAAATAACTCATTTGTAATAAGACACACAAAGGGCCCAGAGTCTGTAACAAAATCAGTGGCAAAGGCAGAGGAGAAGAGATCAGCAGTGGAAGGGTTAAATATCTGAAGGTGCCTGGGGGGGGGGGGGGGGGGGGGGGGGGGAGGTTGACACAGACCACAGCGATGTCAAATAAAACAGGTTTGTGGTCAGATAAACCATCATCCCCAATTTCTAAATTAAAGACAGATAAACAATATACAGCATGTTAATACTAAATCAAGTGTGTAGCCCTGCTGTTGAGTTGGACCAACAACATTCTATTCAAAGTTAAAGGACTGGATGAGATCTAAAAACTCCTGAGCTAATGGCTCTTCAGGGCAGCAGACATGGATATTGAAATCCCTCACAATTAAAACACTGTTGTATTTGAGCAGGATTCCAGTTAGAAAGTCAGAGAGTTCATTCAAAAACTGTTGTATTTAGGAGGTCTATAAATCACAGCACACTGAACCGGGTTGGAGCGGCCCAGCTCACAACTGAGTAGTTCAAAACTTGCATAATTAGCTGAATCATGGAGCTGCAGTTCAAATGTTTCTTAAAAACAGTCAGTAATCCGCCACCATGACCTGTTGTCCATGGAGCATTAAAAAAGCACAATCCAGAGACAATAGTTCCAAAAAATATGCTGAACTCACCAGAGCAGATCCAACACTCAGTGATGAAAAGAAAGTCCAGTCTGCTGGATCAGAAAAATTTATTTAAAATAAAAATTTTATTAGCCAGGGACCTGGCATTTATCAGGGCCATCCTCATAGAATCCACAGCAGGAGGAGATGACTGCGGTGCCCAGTCCAGCAGTCTCAAATTTGTGCCATGGGCCGGAAACACAGCTGCACACAGGCCCACTGTGAGGATCAGACCCCGCCAACAGGACCAGACAGCATGCCACAGGATCAGCACAGTGCCAGGATCAGTGATGGACACGTTGCTCATCAGCTGGAGAGGTTGCTGTAGAGAGCAAGGTGGGCTTTAAGCTTCACAAGCCAGTCAGTGCATTTTCCCCGGCTTCTGGAGCATCGTCTCCAGGCAGGCAGGTGTGCCGCAGGTAAACAGGCACATCCGCCTATAGAGTGGGGTGGGGTGGGTCCAGAGCTCTGCCCATATGGGTCAAAATAAGCCAGGTTGGTAGCACAGAGTTGAAGATCCAGAAGTTGTCGTTCATATACCAGCAGAGAGCTGATGTCACAGATGAGAAATGAAAAAAAAAACATAAATAGTACCATCCCTGCTAGCAGAGGTGGATGACAAGACATGTACACAGGCGCCATCTTCCCAGAAGTGAAGGTTGTCACTGTTGACACCCATAGAGACGCAGGAAACAAGTGGGTCATCACCGCCGACACCCATGGAGGGAAATGAAGTCATCTGCTGAGGAAGACATGGCTGCTTTGTCAGCTGAGCAGAACCCTCTAGAGTTCTAGTGGGATAGTGAAATGGAGAGATAGTGGTAGTTAACACACACTATCATTAGTGTGTGTTATTTTTCCATCCATCCATCCATCCATCCATCCATACATCCATCCATCCATCCACCCACTCACCCACCCATTCTCTTCCGCTTATCCGGGGTTGGGTCGCAGGGGTAGCAGCCTAAGTAGGGAGGCCCAGACTTCACTCTCCCCAGCCACTTGGGCCAGATCCACCAGGGGAATCCCAAGGCGTTCCCAGGCCAACTGAGAAACATAGTCCCTCCAGCGTGTCCTGGGTCTTCCTCTGGGTCTCCTCTCGGTGGGACGTGCCCGGAACACCTCACCAGGGAGGCATCCAAGAGGCATCCTAACCAGATGCCCGAGCCACCTCAACTGGCTCCTCTCAATGTGGAGAAGCAGCAGCTCTACTCTGAGTCCCTCCCGGATGACTGAGCTTCTCACCCTATCTCTAAGGGAGAGCCCAGACACCCTGCGGAGAAAACTCATTTTGGTCGCTTGTATCAGAGATCTTGTTCTTTCGGTCACAACCCAAAGCTCATGACCATAGATGAGGGTAGGAACGTAGATTGACCGGTAAATTGAGAGCTTCGTCTTTTGACTCAGCTCTCTCTTCACAACGACAGACCGGTACAGCGCCTGCTTCACTGTCAATGCAGCACCTATCCGCCTATCGATCTCATCTGTTATTTTTCCATTAATTTAAATCCCATTGATGTTATTCTTAAGCAATTGGGTAAGAGCTTCTGTTTTAAGTGTGCTCTATAAATAAAGTTTTGACTTGACTAGAGGCTTAGGCTTGCTAGGCTACTCAGAAAATGGTAGAGAACCTGGCAGCACAGGAGAACCTGGCAGCACAGGAGAACCTGGCGGTGGCACAGGACAGACTGGAGGTGGCATAG